TTTGCTTTGTAACAACATCAAATACACTTAAGTATTGCTGTAAAGCCGTCTTCTTAATCTACTGTTTTCTGGTTATCACTGTAGTATTACGAGCAATTTACTTAAGTAAGAGGTCGCCTCGCTACCTGCTCACTGTATAGATAGGATCCAGCTAGTGTTAGATCACTATGTGAGGAGAAGATAAACTACCTGTTCACTGTATAGATAGGATCCAGCTAGTGTTAGATCACTATGTGAGGAGAAGATAAACTACCTGCTCACTGTATAGATAGGATCCAGCTAGTGTTAGATCACTATGTGAGGAGAAGATAGCGGAGGCTATTGAGAAACATTGGACACAAAACTCACAGTTTTCAACTGTAACCTGAGCAATCAATCAATAAATAAATCAATTAATAAACCATTTAATCAACCAATCAATCAACCAATTAATTATTTAATCAATTAATCAACCAATCAACCAGGAACATTAAAGAATAACCTCACAGTTTTTAATTGTCACCTGATCAATCAATCAATTAATCAATCAAGTTATCAACTCACCGATTACAATAATGATTTAATCAACCGGTCATTCAATCAACTGCAATTAATCATTTTATGATATTACTTTTTTAACAGTCTTTTTATTGAATACCTTGGACGAGCTTTGAGCAGACACTGAGCTTCCACTTTCTCCTAGAAATATAATTTTTGTACAGTGATATAAGGCGGAGGATTAAAAGCAGAACCGTACAGTGATATAAGGCGGAGGATTAAAAGCTGAACTGTACACATTTGTATAAGGTGGAGTAAATATTAGTACTGCACAATGATAAAAGATGGAGGACAGTGCAGTACCGAACAATGATATCAGATAGAACGAAAGACCATCGCTGTGCAATGATATAAGGTAGAGAAAATAGCAGTACTGTACATTTATATAAAGTAGAGGAAAGAGAAGTACTGTACAATGATATTAGGTAAAGGAAAGAGCAGTAATGTACAATGTTATTTTTAGGTAAAGGAAAGAGAATTACAGTACAATAATTTAAAACGGAGGAAAGTACTGTACAATGATTAAAAATGGCGGAAATAGAAGTACTGTACAATATTATAAGGCAGAGGAAAGATCAATACTGTACAATGATCTAAAGCGGGGGAAAAAGAAGTACTGTACAATATTTTAAGGCAGAGGAAAGATCAGTACTGTACAATGATCTAAAGCGGGGAAGAGAATTACAGTACAATAATTTAAAACGGAGGAAAGTACTGTACAATGATCTAAAGCGGGGGAAAAAGAAGTACTGTACAATATTTTAAGGCAGAGGAAAGATCAGTACTGTACAATGATCTAAAGCGGGGGAAAAAGAAGTACTGTACAATGTTATAAGGCAGAGGAAAGAGCTATACCAAGAAATGATAAAAAGGTGGAGACAAAAAGAGTATTACTCTACACTGTACATTAACATAAAATGGAGGAACGAGCAGTTTCAAGAAAAAGAAAGGATTAAAGGTAGACGAAATAGCAGTACTGTACAATAATGTCAGGTGGAGGAATAAGAGCAGTACCATACAATAATGTAAGGCGTAGGAAAGAGGAGTAACATACAAAGATATAAAGCAGAGGAAACAGAAATACTGTACAATAATAGAGGGTTAGAAAGGTGAGTATCATACAATGCAATGATGGAAGGTGGAGAAAAGAGCAGTACCGTACAATACAATGATATAATGTATAGGATAGATTAGTGACGTATGATGATATACAGGAGAGAATAGAGTAGTACTGAACAAGGATATAAGGAGTAGGAAAAAGCAGTACTTTACAATGATATCAGGCGTAGGAAAGAGCAATACCGTACAGTGATGTAAGGTGTAGAAAAGAGCAGTACCTTACAATCAAGAAAAATGCAAGGAAAGTTATTTCAGAGGTGTACGCATCTTTTGTACTGAAGTGTACTGTCTCTGGGCAACACAAGATGGATGTCACAGACTTAAATGGGATCCATCTTTCACATAAAAAATCAATGAAATATTATAGTCATTGGAAACTATTATGTAAATTATCAAAATTATCAAAATTAAATGCTTTTGTCATCCTTGGGTACTAAACAAACGATCTGATGCATTGATTCTTGTTTACAAATTCCGCCCAGAGGGAACTGGTTTCAATATGTACGTAGAGTAGACGCAACGGCAATTAACTTTCTGTGCATTATAACCTTGCTTACAATGATGTAAGGTAAGGTGTAGAGAAGAGCAGTACCTTACAATGATATAAGGAGGAGGAAAACTGTGTGAGAAAGCTCCACAAATTCGTGGATTTGCATAAATAGCGTCAATTCCTCGACCAACAAAAATACAATCCTAAAAAATATAAAGAATTTTTTTTTTTAAATTCTTAGTTACCGTACATAAAGGTACAGTAACAAAAGAACTGTAATTTTGTAATGTACAATCTAGATTTGTAATGTCCTAGCTGCTACACCAAAATTGTACTACTTGTAGTGTACTGTAATAATGTACTGCATTACCTCTATTTGTACTGTGCCAGTTGCCACACCAAAAATNTGTACAATCTAGATTTGTAATGTCCTAGCTGCTACACCAAAATTGTACTACTTGTAGTGTACTGTAATAATGTACTGCATTACCTCTATTTGTACTGTGCCAGCTGCCACACCAAAAATGTACGGTTTGTATTGTACTGCAAATATGTATTGTATTACCTCAATTTGTACTGTGCCAGCTGCCACACCAAAAAATGTTGTTTTCACCCGCAAACTATTTTCATTCCTCAAAGTAAATCTCTGAAAAATTAAGTATTTTAAAATTTTAAAAGATTTTAAAATGAAACTTTTATTTTTTACCTTAATTAAGATTGGTGTTTTGGAACTCGATGCAATTAGAAATGTTTCTGAAGTTACAACAAAAAAAAGATAAATTTCTTTTTGTAGCCTTGGTTGTGTAGATTTTAAACTGTAAATTGTTTATTGTCTACGTTATTGATTATAAAAAACAGGAATCTTGAAATTCGAATGACATAATAATAACGTTAAAAATCTCTTTTTAAAAATTAAATTTTTGTTTTGTTAATTTCATTAATTTTATAGTTGTCACATTTCCCTAATTTTGAGGAAAGTTCTAGATCAGTAAAAAGGTCTGGGTTACATCTGAATTAAATTGATACAAAAATATTGCCTGTACCTGTACCTGTACCTGTACCTGTACCTGTACCTGTACACTAGAACACATTGACCAGCCCCAGCCCCAAGAATAGAGACACTCTTCTCGTAAAGGAAATATGGCGCCGAATCTTCGGAGCCTTGCGAGGATACTTCATATACACCTGGACATAGTCATTGCAGTCTTTTATAATTATGTTGCGTTATTTCTATTCTTCAGATATCGTATTTAGTCTTTCTGATCCATTCTGAGTCATTCTGAGTCATTCTGAGTCATTCTGAGTCATTCTGAGTCATTCTGAGTCATTCTGAGTCATTCTGAGTCATTCTGAGTCATTCTGAGAATTCTGAAGTTGTTTTTACCTTTTTCCACAAATATCTTCCCTCCATTGTTCACGAGTCTGCCGATGAATTTAAAGCTAATATATGGGAAAAGAAACGGAGCTAATATATGGGAAAAGGAATGGAGCTAATATATGGGAAAAGGAACGGAGCTAATGTATGGGAAAAGGAACGGAGCTAATATATGGGAAAAGGAACGGCGCTAATATATGGGAAAAGGAATGGAGCTAATATATGGGAAAAGGAATGGAGCTTATATATGGGAAAAGGAACGGAGCTAATATATGGGAAAAGGAATGGAGCTAATATATGGGAAAATTAACGGAGCTAATATATGGGAAAAAGAACGGAGCTAATATATAGGAAAAGGAACGGGGCTAATATATGGGAAAAGGAACGGAGCTAATATATGGGAAAAGGAACGGGATTATTAGAGAAAACATTCACAAAA